CTTTTTTTTTTCTAACTATAATCCAATTCTTCGCTTGCGCGATGCGAGAAAACCTGTTTAACCGGTACTCTACAATAGACGAGTACAAATACCGCGTGATATTTCTACTCGTCTATGGCGTTATTTGTACTCGTCTAAGTATAGTTGGATAATAAGTTTCAATGCTGCTGTCCTTTTATCATTCCATATTAACATAGATTATGGTGGAAACGATATTCACTGCTTGGTGGTCGTTTACTAACAGTAAATTACCATGCAATACGGTAACCTAAAAACACCCTTAGTGTAAGATAGATTGGATTCTCACGGAGACTTTTTCATCAACAAAATTAAAGCTACTCTTTATCAGAAAATAAGGAAGAGATATTATGGAAGTATTATTTAGCAGATCGTCTTAATTTTTTTTTGGCACGCGTTCAAATAATTTTTTCAGAACCTCGCTTATTTGTTCCTTTGGAATTTCATAAAAGACTGCTGCTTTATAACCCTTGCCATGACAAGAAAATGACCATCATTTGTTCTTCTGTGTCCGGGAATTTGTGTAACACTACTGACGCTTGAACAGGCAAAGCGTGGTACTACGAAAACATCAGAGAGTACTCCTTGCTAAAATAAGCTCAATTTCCGTGTCACATCCAATAATCTTCAACTGATTTTTTATGGCATGTAATATTCCTGTTGCAATTTACGGGGGGGAGTCCCTGACGAGATTGATTTTCTCATCTTGGATAAGGTCCACATTCTCCCGACCATCAATGAAAACGTACAAGCCATGCTTGAGAAGGTTTATTGTTTTAATGACGCAATGTTTTGAGACAATTTTCTGAAAAGTTCTCAGAGAAAATTGAAATTGACAGCTCCAGAATTCACACTTCACAGTGTCACGCAAGCAGACGAAAAGAACTGTTACTGGAGTAGGATACGTACGATTACTAGTTCGTTCAGATAAACCTTGCACACATAACTAAATGAATAAAACTTGGAGATATCCTGCTTTTTAAAATATCAATAAGGTTTAAATCAGCGAACTTCCTCATGCTAGTGAACACAAAAGAGCTTACGACAAAGCTCGTAAGAACGTGCACGTGCTTAATACTAAAAAATATGTCATAACATGTAATAAAAAGAATGAAAATCGTAATCTTTACAATTTATGATTTATGACCCATCCCTTCCAACCCGAAAATGTGCAGTAAGAAATCCCCAACTACTATAACTACTATGATGCATAATTCATCATTAATTCACCGTCCCTTCTAACCCGATTTATATCTAAAATATGTGATACTGAAGAAATCCCCAACTACTATAACTATATAATGTTCAATTAAATATCGGTAGCGCTGTCATCAAACATGCGTGCCGACATGTCTGCCGACAGATACATTATAGACACAGGTTGTTTAACACGCTACATAGTTTAAATTATTTATTATTTGATCACTGTTTGTCACATCCTCGGAGACCCAGGGGCTGTGGGTCGATTTCAAGGTAGGGCATGAAGAGCCCCTGGGGACATTGTCTTACAATACTAGTTCCAAACGGTCGCAGTCGTTCTGCCATCTGATTGGTGCCAGAAAATCTTTGTGTTTTTCTGCCCAATCAGAGTGAAGTGTGCTTTAGAGTCCTTTCGTGTGTTTTAACACGGACATATACTAGTAGCTCAGTTGCTCACTATGTTTGTTTGGACCGTGCGACGGAGATTTGCTTGAGGTGAAAAGTTTCAGTCTCAGCACACAATGTAAGAGAAATCGATCAGATTGTCCGCGAAAATCTTACCGGAAATTATACTGAATACTTTCGCAGGTATCACTAGAGAACGTGTTTTAAAGTTTGCGAGGTTTGTATACAACACGATGGTTGCAGTCATTGATATGTCGCTTTAAACGTTAAACGAGATTTAAGCTTAAATCTTTCTAGATTTTTTGCATAATTTGCTGTGACTGAAACTTTGCCAATCCCGTGAAGTTATTTCGTCGCACGGGCCACGCAGGTATGTCGAGCAACTGGCGCTTTCGCCTACGTAGCTTTCTGCTTTCTGTGCGCGCCAAAATCTAATCTTCGCTTTGTAGTAAAGTCGTTCACAATACGGCTTAAGTTCGTGGACGACCTCCAGCAAGCGCTTAGAGAAAGCTTAGCTGTGTTTCCGGTTAGCTAATTAAAATCTGAACAAAAACTTATTAACGAGAACATCGTGGGAAGGAGAG